GCTTTAAAGGGGTCATATGATGCTTTTTTAAAGATCATTATTTTGTGTATTTGGTGTAACAGAATATGTTGACATGCTTTAATGTTCAAAAAACACATCCAAAGGACTCACATTTAAGCTGATACAGATGATGAGCGAACAATGACAGAAACAGAGCAGATATATCAAGATAAAGGTAACACTTTACAATAAGGTCTCTTTGTTAACACAGGCTTTCTGTAATGCATTTGAGCAAATGCAATTAGTTACTGTACTTAAGTATCTTTTTGTAGTTTTACTGAGTATCAAATATTTTAGCAACTTTTACTCTCTACTTGATAGCATTTTTGAGTAAGTGTATGTACTCTTTACTCCAATACATTTGTGATGATTAATGCAGCTTTTTAGCATGGCACTGAACTTTTCCTGTGGCAGTTTATTTCTGCTACAAAGGAAGTGATATCGCCATCTACAGGTTATTGAAGATACGATAACTTGTGCATTTTGCCCTTACTCACCCAAACTTGTCAACACGGCTGCTTTACATGAATGTGAGTGCATTAGCAGCTAGTTATGAATCGCAGGCGTTTCATTTATGAGATGAGGACATGGCTGAGACCTTCTTGAAGGATACTGCTTTACTTATGCTCTTTTTGAGCTAAACTCAGACTTCAGTGTTTGTAGACGTTTAAGAGGCTGTTGTGTCGACCTTCATTTATTGCAGTTTTGAGGTGTTCGGTTTTATTTTGATTTTAGAAAATAAACATGTGATTGCTCTCCTCACAAATCAGCTGTTTCTTGTTTTTCACTGGCTTTTCTCTTAGGTGTTCAGGACTAGTGCATCTTTGAGCCTTCATTTAGTGTGAGTGAAATACTTAAGTACCATTAAAATCAGATACTCTTTTTCAGTGTAAGGTATCTGTACTTTTACTCAAGTATGATTTTCAGGTACTTTTTACACCTCTATATGAAAGTAAACTTGAGACTCGTTTAAGGAATAAATTAACGGGAACAAAATAAACCAATAGGTTCCCATGTTTAGCAATCACATTTTTATTTTCTAAAATCAAAATAAAACCGAACTCCTCAAAAGTGCAATAAATCAAGGTCGACACAACAGCCTCTTAAACACAAGTCTAAATGTAAATGTCTAGAAAGAACACAATGAGTTCCAAAAAAACTTTCAAACGATCCACATTACTTTTTAATTAAAAAATATGGAAATCACTTTTACTGTACCTTCTGATCACAACACTACCATTCTTCATCAGTCTTTCTGTCTTGGTTTTCAGTGCAAATGTCTAAAGATTCTTAAATCAATCTTTGAAACACAAAACAACATGAGAAGTCTTGCTTTCTGTTAAAAACAAAGCACGTTTATGAATAAAACAAGAACAAATATCTGCCAATGGGCTCAGATATAAAAATCAGCTTAATTCAAAAGGAAAACAAGTGTTCATTCCCCCATGACAGATATTTGTTTTTGTTTTGACAATAACTAAAATAATTTTGTTCAATTTCTCAGAAAACAAGACTTTATCTTCAATTTGCATCTCCAGTAAATGCATCTTGATTTAAGGATGTTTAGATATTTGCACTGAAAAAAAAAGGCAAAAATACAGAGGAAGATACTCATCTTTGCAATGCATGCAGTATTTAATGACTTTATGAATTTAAGACTCTGATCTCAGACCTCTTTAAATCCTTAATCTGTGGAAGGGTGAACTAAGACCTCTTAAGAACTTTAAGACCCAGCGGAAACCCTGTAGCATTATGTATTAACTGACACATTAATAACTAACATGAACTAACAATGAGAAAGTGATTTTTTTTACAACATTTAATAATCTTGGTTCACAAAAACACAATTATTCAGTGTTTGTTCATGTTAGTTTACAGTGCATTAACTAATGTAAAAAAAAACAGTGTTTAATGTTAAAATGTATTAATAAATGTTGAGATTAACATTAAGGCTAGTAAATGCAGTATTGTTAGTTCATGTTAACTAATGTGGTTCACTAATGTTAACCAAAGGAACTCTACTGTAAAGTGTTAGCAACAGACATATCCTTTATGTATTTAATCCCATTTTATTAACCAATGTCTTTGCTGCTGACCTTCAATGATTCCAATTCAACCACACTAATACGCAGAAAAGACTGTAGAAAAACATAATATCTGTGTTTCTTTTTTCTTCTTTTATTACTGAAGAGTGTCCTATTCTTCATGCAAAATTGAAGGTTTGTTTGAGCTGCGCCCTCTACTGTACAGACGGCTCATTCAATCCACTTCTGGTGTGAAAGGGCTTTTACATTTGCCAAAAATAGAACTTTTTTATATTGAAAACAAACGAGCAAGCCCAACTTAGATTTCTAAAGTAACTCAAAAATAATGTAACATTACTTTCCATAAAAAGTAACTAACATTATTCAGTTTTTTAGGGTGTATCGCAATATCATAATGCATTACTTTTAAAAGTAACATTCCCCAACACAGCTCAGGAGCGTAAAATGTTCATGCAATCATTGAGTTCGGTCTGAATGTGGGATGTCCCAGCTGCCTGTCGACTCATGTATGTGCACACAGGGTGGATTTAGGTCGACACTGGCCCATAGGCTCAGGGATTTCCAATACAAACACATCACTAATAATCATAAATAAATATCACTTATAATAGCTGTTCGAGTGAGACGATTCAGTCTCTGCTGGATTTTTTAATGGGGTGACACAGAGTCAGTCGGGGGCCAGGGAAAACAGAAATGAATACTGTGTGGCAAGCACAACACACACTGAAGGAATGCTTTTCAAACGGCTTTTAATTATAAACTCAGCAACTTAGATCGAAGTACGCAGGGGACAAGGGATATATACAGTACTGTGCAAAAAATAAATAAATACTTAAATAAAAACAATTGTTTTTTTTAAGCCAGTTTTTTTTTTTTTGTGTGGCCTATTGGCCTTTTGCACAGTACTGTACATTAAATAAAGATCAAAATCGCCGAACAAAGAACTGAGAAAACTGAGGGCTTATATGTACAGGGATGATAATCAACAAAGCATGGAACAGGTGTGAGACAATTAGAAACCATGGAAACAAACTAGCAATGATAACTCAGGCAAACAGAAACAGGGAAAAGAATGAAAACAAAAACAAAACGGAACAAAACAGAATATACACCTGACATGCATTTTAGCCCTGTAATGTAAATATAGAAAGAGTGCTGTTTATTTCCTAGCTGCTGTGAGCATTGCTTTCAAACATAATTACTTGTGTTAAATTATGCATTTGGGTATATATTTTGACATGATTTTTTTTTTTTTGTTAATTTGAAGTGTCATTTTTTACAGTCAAATCTGCACACAGAGAAGGCATTTTGTTACTCATACTACATATAATCGCTTAATCAGGCACACAAAAGCAGTCAGAATACTGGGCGATATTTCAGTATAACTGAGTGATTACATACCATGAACGGAGATCTGGTTTGTGGTCTCTCCTCCTGTTTGAAAAACTCTGTGGAGACATGTCTTCACGTTTATAGAGCCGCTAGAGCTGTGTTAATGATGTTTGAGCTGGGGGAGGCGTGTCGTGTGAAAGGGGCATTTGCTTAGCATGATTTGTTGTAGTTCCACTAGTTGACACTAGTAGGGTAGAAACTGCTTACTCCAGGTTTAGGTGTGTCTCACATGTCCCAAAAGGTTAAGCTAAAACATTTGTATCACGCCCTGCTGGCTGGCTACAGTATAGCTCATAAACCCCACCCTCTCCGAGTAAATAAATGAATGTTACGTGAGCCAAACTAAAAAAATCGAATTACACTTCAAATACATTTTCTCAAAGATTGTTTTCATCATTTCAGGTAGTTCTTCTCACACTGCTGTATGTTCAAGTGCTCAATTTTCGATTAAGTTTACTTTTAGTAAGTTATTTGATGTTATAAAAACGGGGTGTGGCGTCATGATTGTGTGATACGCGACTCCACCAATCACTGCGCAGATTCCAGACGACGTCATCAGTGCAAGATGCCAGGCGGCTATAGTGGAAAGAAGTGGAGATGCGTCGTCCATCTTTTTTTACAGTCTATGCTATACACCAGTTTGCATACAGAAATCTGAACGTTGCATAAAGCCAGGTTCAAAATTCTTGACACATTAGAGTTAAAGGTTTGTACAGACGGGATTTGAGATATCTATTTTTTTTTCACCCCATAAATCCATAAAGTATTAGGAACAAAAATATTATGTATATTAGTGTGAATGATATATGAACAAACCATTCTGTAAAAACCTTCAGAATAGAGACAGGAATAAAACTGTAAAGTTTGGTGTATGTAAATGCTGCTGAAGTGGAGAAAAAGATATGTATTGGAATTGAAATCTACAGAGGCAAAATGAATAAAATAAAGACTTGCATTTGTGTGTTTGGATGTTTTCTTTCCACTAGTCTGAAAAAAAAAGACATGTTATGGGAGCAAAAAAGCCCAAAATCTCAAAATTGCGCAGTACATGAAAAACAATGGCTTTGCTTGTAGTGTCTTGTCTTATAATTCATTCAGTACTGTGGCATATTTCACAGTACTGTGGCACTTCTGTCTGACAGCATTACTGTACCACAGTAACAGCCTGAAATGAAAGAGTTTGTAAATGACCTGCAAACCTGAGCCCAACTAACAAAGCAGAAACCTAGATGTGCTCTACAGCAGTGCTTCTGAACTGACTTTACACAAACACTAGAACTGACGAGTGGAGGACAGCAGACGTGATCCAAACACACACACACACACACACACACACACTCACTCACTCACTCACTCACTCACTCACTCACTCACACTCAACTCTCTCACTCACTCTCTCACTCACTCACACACACACACACACACACACACACAAACACACGCATACAAACCTCAGTTACGTCCGTGACCGTCAGTCCAGAAGCACTGGTTCATTTCTGATGCACAGCGACATCTTCTTCAAAGAGCAAACTTTCTCTGAGAGCGTGCTGATGGTTTACTCACTGAAGCTGACACTCTTCTCTCGGTGGTAGTATCCATCTGCGCTCTTTTTCTTCAGCATGGAGCACAGGTCCACTCTACACACGCATTCGTCTCCAAACACACGGCCCTCGAACTCAGAGAACAGCGCCGGATCTAGCTTCTTAACGCCCTGCGAAGACACACACACGCGTCACAGTAAGTCTACAGCAAACAGAAGGACGGGCGAGGGAAGAGAGAGTACAGTAGGGGTGGAAGCGTCTGTCATGGCCGATAACCTCGGCAGGAAGCATGTCTTGCGGGAAGATTATAGACACGCCTCCTATCCGTTTCATTCCCTCTTTTTTAGTCCCAGGCTCTTTCATTATATGGAGAAGAGCAGCGTGAACATTTGGCTAAACGTCTCCTCATTGAAAGAAAGTCACAGAGGAATGGACGTGGAAGCACATGAGGGTGAGGCGTCTCTTTAAAGTGTCCGGTGGATTGTGGGAAGGTTGAAGCGGTGTAATGTGTGTTTGATTTGATTGTGGTGGACTGATGAGAAGATCTGGCGTCAGGTCTCACCCCTCACTGTCTGAACAGATGGCTTCATCCTCAACACCTGACTCACGCAACAACATCACAACCACTTCTGCTCAACAAGACTGCATGTATTTGATCAAAAATACATGAAAAACTGTGAAATATTATTACGGTTTAAAAAAGTTTTCTATGTGAATATCTGTTAAACTGTAATGTATTTCTGTGATGCGCAGCTGTATTTTCAGCATCATTACTCCAGGCTTCAGTGTCACATGATCTTCAGAAATCATTCTAATATGCTGATTTGCTGCTCGATAAACATTTCTGATTATTACCAATGTTGAACACAGTCGTGCTGCACAATATTTTTGTGGAAACTGTGATACATTTAATTTTTTTCAGGAATTCAGGAATAGAAAGTTCAAAAGAACAGCATTTATTTGAAATAGAAATCTTTTGTAACATTATACATGTCTTTACTGTCACGTTTTATCAATTTTTATCAATGCATCCTTGATGAATAAAAGTATTAATTTCTTTCATGAACAATTAAATCGTACTGACCCCAAACTTTTAAGCGATAGTATATTTAATCAAATATCAGCTTTAATACTTCAGGTCTCATTCAGAGGAAACAGTAAAAAATCTGAACGCTGTTTAAGCAAAAAGGGAAAGAGTAAGATGTCAAACTCAAACTTAATTTCCATAATGCAACTGACAGAGACTCTGCAGCATTTGCTTATGATTAGATAAATCAAACACATCCTCCTCCTCCTTCATTACACACACACACACACACACACACACACACAC